AGAACAGAGCCACCCGTTGCATTGTCAGAATACATTGCAATAGGATGTAAAGGTGGGCTAGTTGGTAATTCATGATGGTTCAGCGAACTGGGAGCGCGGGGATAAACACAGACACAAAGCAAAGAAGAGGCACACAGCACGAGCGCTTGAACCATCATCTCCAGAATACACTGCCAGTGTGACTTAGCTTAAACTCGATCATTCACTGCAACCATTATACGTTCGTCGTCAAGTGTTGATTGATTTGTGGGATTTAACGTCCCAAAACCACTATTTGATCATGAGAGACGCCGTAGTGGAGGGCTCCGGAAATTTCGACCACGTGGGGTTCTTTAACGTGCACCCAAATCTGAGTACACGGGCCCGCAACATTTCCGCCTCCATCGGAAATGCAGCCGCCACAGCCGGGATTTGATCCCGCGACCTGCGGGTCAGCAGCCGAGCACCTTAGCCACTAGACCACCGTGGCGGGGCTAGTGTCCCTGTTATGTCTATTTCATAAGTACGTCTACAGTAACAAAACATCATCGCTACAACTTGAACACTCCCTCTTCACATTAAGCAGGTTACGTAATCATCTCAGCTTCACCCGCACCTTTGATAACACAAACGCGTTTAACACATCAGCACTATCACAAGCCATCCACATGTGCTATGATTTTCCCAATGATAGCGCATCTGACAGTAACACTAACACGTTTCGACACAAAGTTTAGATACACTTTCGCGATATAAGCCCTGATAACGAACACTGGTGCCTCGGCAGTTGGAGGGGTGAAGTGACGTCATGGCAAGGATTCGCTTGCTTCGCGACCAAGTATCGCCTTTTTCTGCGCCCGCTGTGTGCCCGCTCTTATGCGGTATGGTAGTGAAAACTGCCAATCGCTGCCATGCAAATCTACCTAAGTAAAAGCAGGCTGTTTACACTGCTAACGAAAGTTGAGTGAGCTGCAGGAAATTGCGATAATCTGATGGGCAAACTCCCGTCTGAACGGGAGAGTCACTGTGGAAACTGTTGTGCATTAGAGCAAGACCTTTGTTGTTTTCACCGCTAACGCCAATAAATCAGCGCTAAAATGCTTCACGCTGACGATTATGACTTCATTAAAACTTGGCGTACACTCCGAGGTTGTGTCCCAAAGAACATGTCTCGAAGAATTACAAATAAAATTAAAATGTTTTCGAATTCATTAAGTACATGGCGGTTTTTTATGCAGATTATTCAGGTAATTTGACAGAGTTGCTCTTTTCGCTGAAAAAAAAACGTTAGATGAATCTCCCACAAAAATCTTTTAATACACCTTTTATTATATCCAGAATGTTGAACGAAATTACACGGTCACACACAACGTTCAGGGCAAATGCCGAGATGTTAGTGTACCCGAAGTAATTATTTTTTCTAAACAACTCACCCGGAATTTTGTGGCCGTATATTCTCATTTGCATGAACTGCTGGTCCGATCAAACGTCGCGCCATTTACAAAGCAAATGATTGAGATTTTAAATGAGCGATTTTAAATGAAACCACTCAATGGTTCTCTAAGCGATGGGGTCCACGTAATAATTAAACGGTATTCGCCTCTATAAGTCAGCGTCTGGTCTCGTACGTCTTATTCACATACATGTTAATAATAGTCGGGTGTAATCAAATGGAAGTAAAATAATTTACTAGTAGACTATCTAAGCCGGTATACTTACGAATGCAAAAAAGCCGTTGCTACGATGCTTCAATCAACCTAAACTCGTGCTTCAGTTACATGAAGCACCAAAATTACAGCGAGGAAAGCCTGAAACTACTCGAGTAAGCGAGTATATAATAAAAACAAATGCAACAGCTACAGTGGCATTCTCGGCCAAGTGCTTTATAGGTACTTTGAGGGCCTCGATACCGCATGGGTTTTTGCAACTGTGCGCAGAATTCGGTACACAGGCAAAGAAAAAAAAAGCTGACCGTGGCCTGACAGGCGCATCTGCCCGATACAAAAACTTTAAGAAGTGATAACGTCATATCTTTGAAAGGAATCGCTCGTGAAAACAGATACCTGTTAATGTATATATGCTGTCTTGTGTGTAAATACCATGACTTGAATACGGGACGTCCTGTAGAATTACTCTGTATCTAAGTACAAACTTATGCTTGCTTAGACAAACATATGCTTGAGAATCGAACACATCCTCGAGTTTAGCAGCGTCACATCACAAACCTGATCAGAGTGCGTACGGTGGAGCGCGGTAACCGTAGGCGTTTGTACTGAACAAAATTTTTTGTCGGTTTACTTGAAGAATTATTGATGCTGTTTTCAGCATTCATCTGAAGCTCGAGTCAAGCGATCGCGAATAGCGCAACTGCGCACGATACGAGTGCATGTTATCTATAGGCACGCCACGGCTAGCCACGGCAGCCGTCGAAGCATGCTTGCCGTGACGTCATCCAGGAATCCCGCCAGGCGGCGGCACTCCAACTTCTCGGAGCTAATAGAGTCGAAAGTTCGTAATGTGAAACATTCCTTTGTGTACTGCAAGTACTTTTGGCTTCTATCTGCGTATATATCTATCGACCTAGCCGCTTACGTCTGGGTGCTCTCATAATCACTCCCTTAACTTAGGGTATACACTTAAATTAGTACGAGAGGGTAAGATGGTTTGATGAATAAGAGTCACCGGTTATGACATGAATTATGTCACAATCATAATTGTCACGTACGTCGTCAAACACTTTGCAAAAAACAGTGGCACATACCTGAGGGCGGGTATGTGCCACTGGTATATGGGTATGTTCAACAGGTGATACACATATCATATCTACCTTGGAACGGCGAGAACACAAAAAGGTAATTTTATTAAGAAAAAGCTTATATAGGCAGCGTTGACCAGACGAGTGCCAAGAATAAATGTCAGTGTCCCAACAGGAATCAAGCCCCGCCGCGGTGGACTAGTGGCTAAGGTGCTCGGCTGCTGACCCGCAGGTCGCGGGTTCGAATCCCGGCTGCGGCTGCATTTCCGATGAAGGCGGAAGTGTTGTAGGCCCGTGTGCTCAGATTTGGGTGCACGTTAAAGAACCCCAGGTGGTCGAAATTTCCGGAGCCCTCCACTACGGCGTCTCTCATAATCAAATGGTGGTTTTTGGGACGTTAAACCTCACATATCAATCAATTATCAACCCAACAGGAATCAAGACCTAGCATTCTGTGTCGTAATCAAGAATTATACTACAGAGCCACGCCGGGTAGTAAGCACTTTGAAAATAGACCCTAATGTTCGTGAAAGTCAATTCTGGTTGCAGTACTGGCTATCAAGTTTTATAAACATTACTTATGTACTGATGATACAGCGGTCATATCCGGTTAACGTTAATTGCAGTTAGCCACCATCTGATGAGGTAGATTTGTGTAGCAGTTTGCAGGGCTGTCATTCTCGTGAGCACCTTCGCAAACACCAGCGCTTCATATCAGGTTACCGCTTATGGCGTTGCTATATCTATGTTGCTGTTGGCATCATTACGCAACTGAAACAACTGCTAATATAAAACGTATGCGACTGTTAAGCGTATGCGTGTACGCAGATTTGTACATATATTGAGCGCCAATTCATAACGTCTCACTCAATAAAAAAAATTGAAACATATTAACCTTGTGTCCGCATGCTTCGCATAACGTCGATTCCCAAGGAACGCGCTCTAATCTGCTCTTTGTGAACTGTTCAATTACGATGACTAAATGCATTTTTAATTTTTACGAAGTATTAGTATTTTGTTATATATATATATATATATATATATATATATATATATATATATATATATATATATATATATATAATATATATATATATATATATATATATATATATATATATATATATATATATGTTACAAAACCACATCAAGCTGAAAAAGCAAGACAGACAGCGAGAAACGCGACGTTATTTTGGGATGTGGGGCACGCTCTCGCTTGACATCTCGGCTTAGGCTTGGCATCGTGCAAATATATCACAACTGTCACCTCGTTTTTTTTGTGTGTGTGCCCTCCCGTAAATATATATATATATATATATATATATATATATATATATATATATATATATATATATATATATATATATATATATATATATATATATATATATATATATGTTGTAGGCCCGTGTGCTCAGGTTTGGGTGCACGTTAAAGAACCCCAGGTGGTCGAAATTTCCGGAGTCCTCCACTACGGCGTCTCTCATAATCATATGGTGGTTTTGGGACGGTAAACCCCACATATCAATCAATCAAAATTATATTGCAGCTTTGTCACGTAAAATCCAACATGTCATTATTAGTCGTGTTTATAATGTCAGTGTAAAAGCCGTCACGTTGTTCACTTTCCCTCGCTACTGTGCAGCTCTAGCAAAATAAAAGCGAAGACTGTGCGCATAGATCTGAAGTGGCTCTCCCAAGCTGCGCATTTTCAGCGCATGCAGGTGGAATGTTTCAACGTCCTCCCTCTTGGCAGCACATCTGCTGCGCCTGCGCTTTATTTGGTGGTGAAGGTGGTTCTGTTCGAGTTAAGATTTCCGCTTGCCACTGCGCCGAACAGAAGTTCGGATTAAGCAATAATGTTTTGCTGCCCATAAACTTAATTAGGCTCTTTTTTTTAATTCTTTTAAAGCAGTGTTCGCGCATATAAGCACTCCGTTTCATATCCCTTTCAGTCACGGCGTGCACATATGTGTACGCACGTTTGGTGATTTTTTTTTTTTTTTTCATCCCATGAAGTTGAAATTTCCCGCGTACAAAATCGTTTGTAGATATGTGAGGGCCTTGAGATTATGACTACTAGCGCCATCTGTTGTTGTTATTTAGAAATGGTTTGTAAACAACCCATGGACCAGATTTAAAAATTTTGGCAGCTAAGGGTGAGATTCATCCCAGTTGAAAATTTCGGCAAGCTCTTTTGGAGTCTGATAATATAATTTTAGAACTTTCATGTAGTATAGCTACATCTATGGCGACCTCTACATGTTCAAGATGGACGCCGCCGCATTCTACGGCACCGCTGTTAAGTGCTTCATTAAAGCTTGTCTTTTTGCAATGTTATTACTTTTGAAACACCAGTGCATGGTTTGTTCCGTGCTCATAAAGACATAAGGAGCATGTAACGGTTGTCAAACTTATTACAGCTCCTACTCAGCGCTAGAAAATTTGGTGCGAATTTCGCGTACACAATTGTGTATACCGTGGCGCTATAGGTACAAGCCGACCGACGGCGTCTCATGTAGTGCAGTCTTTTACTGAAAAACTCCTGGCGTTTTCGCATTTCAGATTTCACAAATCATGCGAGACAACGAATAAGACTTGATGATGAATCGGCAGAAAGAATGCTGTCCAGAATTGCCGATGGGAACTCGTCCGACATCGACCTCTCTGACGACGACGAGGAAGAAGTGCGCCCAAGTCAACATGTAAGTCATGGAACGGCCACGAAAGTGATTCTGTTGCAGTGCTTTGGGCAGTCATAGAATAACTTGTTTCGCAGGCGGCCGCCACAGACACAGACGGTGGTGCTGGTCCGTCTGCGGCAGCGCAGGATCTTCTAACTTCGCAGGATCAGGATGACCAACATGAAGTCGTCGGACAACTGAAGAAGAGACCACAGCTTTGGGTCACTTCAGAATTTGAGCCACCGGACACTACATTTTGTCCTGAAGCTCGTGATGTCAGTGGTATGAGGGAACCTTGTGAGTACTACTTTCACAGATGAACCATTTCAAGAGATTGCTCGTTGCACAAACATCTACGTGCTTCAGACATCGGGAGGCGAGCTCGGAACCACACCAGAAAAAATTAAAACATTCTTTGGAATGCTGATGATAATGGGAATTTTGAAATTTCCACGGATCAGAATGTCCTGGAGTGCTGCAACTCAAATTCCCAATGTGTCACAAGCAATGAGCGTAAATCGCTTTTTCAAGCTGAGGTCTGCACTACATGCGACAGAGCCAGACCCAGGTCACACTGGAACTGACAAGTTCTGGAAGGTACGACCTGTAGTTGATGCTGTTCGAAAGAGATGCCTGCAACTGCCTGTTGCTGAAAAAAACAGCATTGATGAACAGATCATTCCCTTTACTGGAAAGGTGGTCGCTAAGCAGTTCGTTCGCAATAAACCCAACCCTGAAGGGGTGAAAGTGTTTGTACGATGTAGCTCCGGAGGCATGGCTCATGACTTTGAAATTTATCAAGGAAAAGGGACAGGGACATCAGTGGAGCACAAGCATCTAGGACTTGGTGGTTCAATTGTTATGAGGTTGACTGAGAACCTCCCAAAACTGAGGAATTTCAAATGTTATTTTGGTAATTATTTTACATCAATACCCCTACTTCAAGAGCTGAAGCAAATTGGCATTTGGGCCGTTGGGCCCATCCGCAGCAACAGACTACAAAGATGTCCACTCAAATCGGATAAGACACTGAAAAAGGAGGGACGGGGCAGTATGGATGCCAGGGTCACCAATGAGGGTGATATCACAGTTGTCAGGTGGCAAGACAACGGAATTGTGAATGTTGCGTCGACATTCGTAGGCATTGGGCAGCCAAAAAATGTAAAACGGTGGAGCGAGTCCTCAAAACAGCACGTTGACATACCGTGCCTTGAAATTATCACCGAATACAATGAGTCGATCGGTGGGGTCGACAAGATGGATTTCTTGCTGTCATTGTACCCACTAAAACAAAGAACAAAAAAGTGGCCAGTACGCGTCATGTCACATTTCACATCATTCGCACTGGTAAATAGCTGGCAAGAGTACCTGATGGATGCGGATGACAACTGCATGCCACGCAAGAAAATTCTGGACCTTCTGGCATTCCAAAATGATGTTGCATTGACACTAATCATGTGAAACAAGAATGGTGCCAGGAAGCGTGGTCGTCCAAGCAATGATGCAAGGGAACCCCCAAGTAAGGTGCACAATGCTGAGCCACTGCCCGTAAATTCCGTCCGTTATGATGGAATTCAGCACTGGCCAGCACACACAGGCACTTCCTTCGCTCAACGTTGCAAGCGAGAAGGCTGCAATTCAAGAACATGAGTGCGATGCATGAAATGCAACGTGTTTCTTTGTCTTTCAGCTATGAATGACTGCTTTTACACATTTTTTCCTTTGCATTTTCTGTGTTCCTGGAACATTCTCTCACTGAAAAACCATGTGCTGTAATTTTCCTTCACTTCACTTTAATTCGTGACTGAAGGGGATAAATATAACGCACAGCGATGAAGTGGTTAGTAAGACTTTTTGCAGTATGGTTTCGCGAAAAGAAAATAATGATTCGGTGTTATTACCAATCAGAACGTGACTTTTGAAAGCACACTCTTTCAAAGCCGAGCAGTTAAAGCTTCTCGTTGTGCCGGATAGTGCGAACACTGAAAATGAACCAATACGTACTCGCTTCGTCTCTTTATCTTCTCAATTGCACACACAACGCGTGCGACGATTTGTCGGACCGTGACATCCAGAACTATGACGTGCGAGTGTGTTATGTGACTAAGAATCGCGTAAAAATTAGTCACGTGACTAAAAATGGCCACATGACTAAGATTGCATAACAGCTAAAGACGTGACTAAGGTCATTTAACAGCTAGTCACAGGACTGAGATCACGTTACCTCTAATCACCTGACTGAGATCGCGTAACGTTTAGCCACTTGACTGAGATCGCGTAACGTCTAGTGACGTGACTGAGATAACGTAGCAGCTAGTCACGTGCCTAATGTGAGCGACCGACCAAAACCAGACAATTGCATGTCCGAGCCTAGCCATACTTACAGCGATACAAGCAAAAGCATCTCCAGCAAAGGCTTGACTTTACTAGCAACTTGAGGTAGGTCGAACACGATAGCTGCGCTGTTGCTTTCATCCTTGTGCCACTAGTGCAAGCTGCGATATCTAGTGAAACTTTAGCGAATCCTTTCTTGCGAGTCGAGTCCATCGCAGAAAAGCATAATCACCATTAATGGGCATGTGAAAATGGGTAACTGCTCAGCACTGGTCGACTAAACGTGAAAAAGGCAACAATCATCCCGGCAAATGGCTGCGCAGTGACGGTAGCCAGCCGAAGACACCGAGTACGCACGACGAGAGAACAACGGCAAAGGCGGCCTGCGCTATCGACGACGTGCCCCGATATATCTATGCAAACGCTTGTTTTCAGTGCGAGTTTCGGTCTCTCACGTTAGGATAACTTTTTTCTCCCCTTTGTCCGTGACTCTATGGTTCAGCTTGGACTTTTCAGGGCTGAGAATGAACGTAGCAACAACCTAAGATCACCTAGCGAAATCCGAGAAACAACTTGTAACCTGCATCACTTACCCTAAAGCCTAGAATCAACCTCGAAGCGACCATCTTTAAAACCATCCAGTTTCGCTGCTTGAAGCCTTGCGCGGCCTAGTGTGAGCTTCGCCAATTTCTTTTTTTTTTTCTTTATTGGGGCTACTTAATGAATGAACGGCGCATGGGCCCGGTGTGCGACCCCTTTGCCACACCACCGCTTTGAAACGGCGTATAAGCGTGACGTATACAGTAATCAGTTGCACAGCAACTATGGCGGTTTCTCTCAAAAGTGATTCCCTATACATAGTGTGATGAAACGTTACTCTTAAATGCCGGGTGTGCTTCAATAAGCGTGTTATCTTTTTTTAGACAGTTCAACAAAATGTGTACGTTTAACTATTTATGACAATAAGTTGCCTGTCGTGTTCTCATACGAATTCTAGGTTGAGGTGGCATTATATGTTGCCACTGCTAAAGTTGTGCTGTGAGTATACTAATTAGCACAAAGTCTTAACTTTTTCCTTATCGACTTGGGGACCATTCCTCGGTGGGAAAATTGTATAGGGCGTCACAATTCATTCAGTGCGTAGTTTTTAGATACCTAAAATGTCGCACCTAATGGGAGGTACATTCATCATCGAGCTTCAAGGCCCCGAGCACCAAAAGGAGGTCGCTTTATTTGCTACTGCATAATCATACTAAAATACCTGTTAAAAAAAGCGACAGAACTTGCATGATGGCGTGTTGCACTGAAGTTTCCTGTCGTGTGAAATTCAAAATCATTTCACTTGCACAAGCCGATCGCTCATCCTTCACCTGTGAAAGTCGGTGCTTGTAATGCTTCCGCGCATTTCCACTTTTTCTTCCACTGCAGCTGTATACAATGCAGAAGCAGCCAATGCGGCTTTTTTTTTTTCTTCTTGCGCATAATATGACAGGCGAAAGAGTTATTTGTGCCTGTTCATTCTTTAAGAAACAAATAAGCCCCACGCGTCATAAGTAACAAGGGGTTCGTCTGTGTATGCCATATATACGACTTGCCGCTTTCTCAGACTACATTGGGAGTTGCTCGGAGGACTTCAAGTTGGACGGTTGTGCCGCCCTCGATCTCCGACGCCAGCGTAGCTCTCGCCGTGTGGTGCCCCGACCTCGGACTTCTTCGACCGGCTCCCATCTTTCCAATCTCCTTCTTTTTCTGTCACCTACATCTTTTCACCATACTTTGTCTTTCCCCCCCTTTTTTTTTTACAAGGCACTGTGCCGTGTCACCCAAGAGGCAGACAGAAACTAGGTGCCTTCTTCCTCTTCTCGTGAACTACTCAACAACAATAACGCAATGTGCTCGCCTTCATCCAAATTTCGTCCCTTTTTCCTTACGGGGCGTTTCTATCTGCCGAAACAGAGCGGCCGCGTGTGCTGCACTCCACACGCACTCGGGTTCAATTTTTTGTTTAGTTTTATCTACGTGTGGATCGGGACTGATTTCGACTGTGAGCCCTTCACAGTAATGGGTAATGTGTAACGTCCCAAAGCCACGATACGATTATTAGGGACGCCATAGTGGAGGGCTCCGGAAATTTAGACCACCTAAGTCCAAGTAAACGGGTCCCAAGAAATTTCGCCTCCGTCGAAAATGCGGCCGGCATAATATCCCGCGACCTTCGGGCAATCAGTCGAGCCGACCACCATGGCAATAATTGTTTTGAATTCCTAAAAAGATATAAGTAGAATGCCATGAATTTGGCATTCTGCAAATTTTCCTCACGGCATAAACAACCGTCCTCAAGTGGATTCTCAGAAAATGCTAATTAACAGGTTTTCTGTCAATCAGTATTTTCAAGTGAACCACCAAATGCAAAGTATTTCTGTTCAAGGTATAGAGGTCGTGTGTGAAGGCGACAAGTGACCGAATATATACCACGTGTTCCATATGGTCATCTCACCTGTACAAGCGGACTGCTTGCACAGGTGAGAGGATATTTATCTGTTTACCTCGGTGTTTATCTGTTTATTCCGCGCTGTGTATATCAATGACCATGCACCTTTTTCTGATGCCATACCTAATATTCTTTTTTTGTTGTTGCAAGTTTGGCGAGCGTTCATTTATTTGCAAAAAAAAAAAGTATGTCCCTCGCCCGACGGCGCATACGGTCGCACCTTGGACTATCCTCGACATCATTGTCTGGAAATTCTCATTAATATTGTGTGTGGCGAAAAAAAAACGAGCCCTCAGCAATTTCCACTTTATTCATAGTGAGGGTCTCGTTCTAGCAGAGTTGATTCCTTCAGATAGTCTACCTGAGGGATTATTGGTCAGCTGCCAGCTCGTAATAAGATCACGTGCTACGTTACGCCAACAGGCAAAAAGTGTTCCAAACTCGCCGTGATGGCCTCGCTGACGAACACTCACATATACTCCATCAAGTGGACGGGGGGATGACCACCGTTGTAGCTCAGTTGGTAGAGCATAAGCATCGGACGCGTTATTGGAAGGTTGCAGGTCTGGTCCGTGCCAGCAGCAAGTTATCTTTTAATCCACTTTTACTTCTTCCCATTTACACTTACTACCTATTAATAACATCCCCTATACTTTCTTCGGTATTGTTGTCTGCTAGTGGTAGCGAGGAGACACTACAGCACATCTTCTGTGACTGTCCTCGCTGCAACGCTCAGAGAAAAATCACAGCAGCTGCTTTAGCTCACTTAGATCAGAGACCGATGACGGCAGAAACCATATTCGAGTGTCGTCTTGAGAGGTCATCGCGGGTGAAGGCGACGAAGGCTGCGCTCTCAATTTCTTGAGGGCAACAATCCTGCACCGGCGGTTATGGTGTTATGGCATTATGACGACTGCGAGGTGTGTGACTTTGTGTGTGCATGCCCTCATTTCTCTCTTTATTTCTTCATTCTTGAAGCTCTCTTATTCAGTTCCCCATTGTAGGATAGCATACCGGACCTTCCAGACTGGTTAACATCCCTGCTTTCCAGTTCCTTCCTTCCTTCCTTCCTTCCTTCCTTCCTTCCTTCCTTCCTTCCTTCCTTCCTTCCTTCCTTCCTTCCTTCCTTCCTTCCTTCCTTCCTTCCTTCCTTCCTTCCTTCCTTCCTTCCTTCCTTCCTTCCTTCCGCGTGTCTGTTCTCATTAATAAAGTTACGTGAACATAGTCTTTTTATTAAACATCTGCATTGACTAAAAGAAGAAACACTCGGTATAATCTGTAAGTACGGGAGCAAAATCATCATGTCTTTTTCAGCGGCATCTGTGGCTGTTGGTGATACACAAGCAAGGAGAGTTAATTTGTTCTAAAGGGTGAATGTCCTCTCTTTAACACATATGTGACGCTGGTCCTAAGACGGTTAACTTCCAGACGAAAATTGACTTCGGTGCACTCCCGCATCTTATGCGTCGCCTTTCTGTCAGCTCTAAAAGGAAGATTATGCAATAAATGGGTTGTATAAGTGCTAACCCATTTATTGCATACTTTCCCGTTCCATGCCCGTGGCAATATAAAAGAATCTGAGCATGACATAAGATATTAGTTTTTTTTTAATAAACTGACACTTACAGTTGCAAAAAACTGTAAAGAGTGCCACTTTGTGGTGTCACTTCGCATACTGACCAAGTAATCACAGTCGGCTATTATTAAACGCATGTACAAATATGGATTGTTGAAAACCAAAGAAAAATATTATAAATGCGTGAGTGCCTTGTTCTATTCATTTTACAATCTCAAGGATGCTCGCGTCAACAACTGACTCAGCCTACACTGCAGAGCAAAGGGGGAAGGGGGAGGGGGGAGGGATTCTTAAATGAGAAAAAAAGAAGATAAAAGTGAGCCCCGCAACTGCCTACATCTAAAAGTGCGACACCTCAGCAGTGGCTCACGAGGAAAGGGGATAAGGAGGGATTAAAAGAATAGAGTGAGAAGTAAGAATAAAAAAGAGAAGGATGGGAGTCCGAGGACGGGGTACCACTCCGCGAGAGCTTCACGGCGTCAGGAGATGGCGGAGGGCGCACCGGTCGGCTGCAGAGCTGCGCTGTCGTCTGAGATCGCGGGGGCACCACCGTTCGGTACGAAATCCAGCAAGCAAGTCCCAGCGAATGGTAGAACTGCAGAACCAGGGTGAGGGGTGGTATCCCTCATTGCATTACTGCGCACATCAGATGTTTTGCACGGGCGTAAGTTTGCGAGTGAGAAGCTCGAGCTCTGTGTTATGTACTCCCTGTGAGATGCAGAATGTCGTGGAATGAAATATGACTTCAGAAACGTTCTGTCACGTGGCTGTGAAGATGAAGAAGGCTCCAGCAGGACTCGGAACTAACTCTTCATTTGGGCGAACTTGTGGTCGGAAAATGAAAGGTCAAAGTACAAGCAGTTCAAGCTGTAACACTGACAGCGGCGTGAACAGCGTCGGGCATCGAGCAATCTGGTCATCGAGCATTCTTCTCGCTGGACTTTTTTTTTAACTTCCGGGCAAATTGGACAAAGATTTCACATGTCAATAACGATCTCGTTTAATTCAATGTGAATAGCATTCTTTGGTGAGGAAATATGAAGGTTTCACTATACTGTCGTGCTGCTTTCCTGCTGTCGCCGTTTGTCAGTGGGCGCGTCCTGTCACAACTCAGACGACACCTCGTCCGCTCCGTTCCTTTCAACGCCTCCGCATAACCGGCCTGGAGGCATGCACGACTCCAGTCCGGCCGGTAATAAAGGGAGGAGAAAAGAACACTATGCACGTAGTCAGAGAGGCGGTGAAGATCTGTTGGATTACAGCGATTGCAGGCTTTGAGTAACTACTGAAAAGGTCAAGATGAAATCAGGAGGAAGGTATTTTATGATAATTCAAAGGAAAGCACTGTCAATACATTTTGAAAAGAAGTTGGGTCGCCTTAAAAGTGAGATCCAACAAAAAAATCACAGCATATCCACGGAGTGAAATGATGATGATGATGAGTGGGCGAAGCGCCCATCAGCCTGTCTGTGCTTCCGTCTGTCCGCGCGACCATACGTGCGTCCATCCATGCGTCCGTCCGTCTGTCCATGCGGCCGTCCATGAGTCCGTCTATCCATCTGCCTGTCTGTCTGTTCGTGCGTCCATCCATCCGTGCGTCCGTACGTCCGCGCGTCCATCCATTCCTCCGTCCGTCTGCTATTCCGTCTGTCCATCCGTCCATCTAGTGAACACTCCAACTACCGCCATCTACCATCTCGCATCCCCTGTGGCACTTACCCGCTCTAGAGCGAGTATGTGCCACCGGTGGCTACGTACTACTACGTACATACAAGGGATGGACAGACCCACGCCTTAAGGAGCTTCACCCCTAAAAAAAAAAGAGAAGAAGAATGTTGTGGAAGAGATACATAGAAAGGACGTAGCGCGCTTTAATTCAATGGGAAAATTGCCAACCCGGTGCACGTTAGAGTACTTTTTGCATGAGCCATGTGATTTCTAGCTATAGGGGCGTCAGCACTGGAGAAGTAACAATGATTGTTGTGGTTTTACGTGCCAAAACCACGAAATGAGAGAGGCCTTAGTGGATGGCTTCGAAAAATTTGATCGCGGGGATGTTTAATGTGCACCAAGCACACGGACCAATAGGATTACTTCCACCGAAATGCCGCGGCCGGTATTCGGTTCGGCATTGACCTTCTGGTCAGCGGTATCACGGCGGGTTATCAGCACCCCAAGCGGACGCATAGGGAGGCTCCATATGCGCTGAGTATAGACTTTGACGCCCCATACTCAGCAGGCTTCCCATAAGCTGACACGCCGCGGAGTGTCTGTCTTTTGTTATGGGGGGGGGGCTTTAAACTATGAAGTCGTTTTGATAATCACATGTTTTGGCGCTTGATGGCAATAAACACTTGTGACACGCAATATTAGTGCGAAATTACATGTCAAGTTAGTAAAGCAAAATGTATTTTCCCTCCATTTCCAAGCAGAGGAAGTTATTTTTCATTGTAATTCCAAGCAGACACGTGGCTTTGTGGTAGAACACCTGCGTTCCACGCAATTAAACTACGGGTCCTCACTCGGACGCGTAGATTTTTATTTATTTGCAACTTTCTCGCTCAACTTTTCGGTCATGGACAAGAAGATGATTTTTAGCTCACAACCAACGACGCCCGCGCCGACGCCGGAACTTCTACGATACGAGCTCTTAAACGCTATTGTGTTAAAATACTGTATCCGCCCGTGTTTGGAATGGGAAAAACATGGAAACATATCTGCGATAGAAATCAGAAAAAGGTTGATGCTGCAGTTACACGTTGAAATAAACTTTCTCAAACTTCCAAATTTAGATGACATCAATTTTGATCTCACTCACATATGCATGCGTAATATATGCACTTAGTTGTCCAGCTTGATGTTCCCCTTCCTCGAACAAATGGGAAGACTGCTAAGTAAAAGGATGAAAGATCGTCAATCGTGACTTTAGTAGAACACGGCATCGAACAATATTAATATTTAAGGCCGGACTTGGTTGCATATGCGACACAAGCTTATATTATACGCTGTGAAGGTTTGTAAGCTTCATTGCAGTTATTCACAACATATACTGTGTCATTAGTAACTTCTGCAAAAAGGTTTTGTAACTTTACCGCTTGCTATAAAGTTCAAAATAATGTGGGTGGGTGTAATTTCTAACAAGCACAGCCCATCCATGCCTGCATCGACGAACATGTGCACATGTCCTAAAATCAGTGCTCACCTAACTCCACACCAAATTACACACCAAATTTCTTCTGTTTAACATTCCTACAAAACAACAAATGCGACCAGATATACCAGGAACGATGGTATGATATTCCTTCCTCGTTGCGAAAGCACCCGGACTGACACGTATGTACGCACGTACAAATGCTGCATCGAAACCGAAACGACATATCTGAAAGTCAACGCAAGCCAAAACGAGAAGCAAGGACAACCTAACTTAAGCGAGTTGGTTGTTTCTACTCGAGTGAGGCGCAAGCTGTTGCCTGTAAGCTATGAAAGCAAGCTAAAATATTCGGTTGTCATTGAGGCGGCCTGGTGCGGTGAATGTGTATTTAACGTATCGACATGTGTGTGCATTCTCCCATAGCTCTGTTGTGAAAATACTGCTACTGTACTTAGGTCCTGCACTGCTCACGCTCAGGATGTCACTTGAACAAACAGCTTGTGAGGGTAAGAGAACTTGTTTATTTCTTCACTTATAAACATGTGCACAACGTTCTCGTGTGCCTGAGAATCTGATTTTCTGTCATAGTTGTTTTTCTTTGTTCGGTTCAGATCTGAAAGCCTTCGAGCGTCGATTGACGGAGGTGATCGGTTACTTGAACCCTCAGACGAAGAGATGGAGAAGTAACCTTCTTATTGTTTCACTCTGTTAAAACGTTTGGCATTTAAAAATGACGTATTTGTTTCTGCCTTTTGACGTGATACTTGCCAGTATTTCACTTTTACTACTTTCTCTCTTGCAGTTATTCTCTTCATAAGCTCGATCTGCACAGCGATAGGCGCTTGGCAGTGGTTGATGGACCCGGTCACATCACAGGTATTAGCTCTAGACGCTCGATTTCGTGCGTTGTTTTATGGCTTACTGAAATTATTTGCGGATTTCCTATACTGGGTTCGTCATGTGATATTTTGCCATTTGCCTTGCTTGCGGCTTTTATCAAATGATTCACTGAGGTCGTGTCTCATGTTATCGCAGGTTGAACCCCGCAACCCCATCCATTGTTTATACAGCACATATTTTGTCATATTGTCGGCTTTCTGTGTTTGTGAATCTGCAGAATACAACATAGCAAGATTGACTACTGATGTTCCTTTTAAATTTTTAGCAGCCCATTGGGTTTGTGAGGCTTATTTTCTAACATTAAAGGAAACTAGAACTTCGTTTCGCCGTGGAAAATTCAGGAGTGTTCATGTAGTTTACTGCCATCATTTGCAATTGTGGGCGTGTGTGTTGCTAATACCATCAGGATATGTGATTTATAATATTACTAGACAAACAGCTTGTGTATGATGGTATCACTTGCTTACAATTGTCCCTTGTGGTTCATGTTGTAGAAGTGCCTACCAGCACAATGATCAGTGTTGTGTCATGGAGCATGGCTACTAAAGTAGTAATGAAAGGAACATGTTCCAATAGCATACTCTTGTGCCATCATGTGTGAAAACATTCTCTCGACATAGTAGCCCCTGCTGCTTATTCATTTCATATGCAAACAAAGGTGTGCACAAAATTTTGTGCATGTGGAGTACTTTCACTGGCTTCAAATAGTAATTGTGTTTTTAAGCAGCAGGGTCATGCCAGGTTGACTGGAATAGCACAACAGAATGTGGTTGGACATTAGGACCCTCGTCATTCATGTGCTTCCACTCGCTACTTTTGCACACTCTTTGACATGATGCAACTGATGTGCAAGTCAACAATCTCATGAGAATATTAAAATTTTGGAAAGCTGTACACACACATACAGCACTTCAAGCCTTCAAGGTGGTGCTAGTGGCTGCAAAACCTCTTTAAGAGGGAACTTGGGTTCCCGAGTTGGCACAGTATTAAAAACGAAATTAAAGCCACACAAAGCATTTTTTTGGCTTGCAAGTCAGAACTACTTGTAATGCAACCACTCTACTATGGTAACATTCCAAAGTGCTTTGGCCATACAAAGGCATTTGACACACTCATAATATATCAAAGCTTTCTTTTTTTTTTTCACAACTGCAGTGGCTGAGCAGCTGTGGAATTTTCTTGCTATGCTTGGGGTCATGACATTTATTATTACCAATGATTCCATGCTGATAGGGGTATTATATAAGAACACCTGTTGATTTTTGTTTATGTAAATGTTAAAAAGAAAGCTCCAGGTTACCATGGTTGTTTATGTAGCTTTGAACATTAAATTGTGCCAAAAATATTAATGAAGTCTGTAAGGGTCCTTGCCTGAAAGTGCATTTTAGCTGAGCAATCTAAAGTTTTTAGAACATTTTGGGTCAATCGCAGTTTGTGTCATACGAGTTTAAATTAATGGGGCATCCTTTAACACTGATGCTCTTGAAGTGCACAAATCACACATGGCATCGTTTCAGGGACATTTTCATGTAATTATACTTGTTATTAAATTTTAAATGCAAAGCATTTCTTTGCGTACTGCAGGCAATTTCAGCATCTGTCTGTCTGTCGGTCTGTCTGTCTGTCTGTCTGTCTGTCTGTCTGTCTGTCTGTCTGTCTGTCTGTCTGTCTGTCTGTCTGTCTGTCTGTCTGTCTGTCTGTCTGTCTGTCTGTCTGTCTGTCTGTCTGTCTAGCAGCCTTCATCTGGGTGCTCTCGTGATCACCCCTTAAGTTTGGGTAAACCAAAATTAGTATGCAAGAGTAAAATGGTTTTGGCGAATATGACTCGCTGGTCATGGCATGAATTTCAAAATCCCGTGGCGTACATCGTCAAACCCTTTCTGCCAGACAACCTGCTGGTGGGTACGTGCCACAGGTATGTAGGTATGTGCCACATGTGATTAACGGTTTATATCCATCTACCCAGTAATTGCGAGAACAAGGATTGGTAGTTCTTATGTGAGTGCTTTTAGAAAAAAGGTGACATTGGCACTGTTGACCCGATGTATACAAAGAATAATGTCAGGGTGCCAGCAGGAACAGAACCCAAGCATTCTGTGTGACAGTCAAGTGTTCTACCACAGAGCCACGCCAGGTCTCGATACTGGTTTGGAAACATACACTATTCAGGTGTATTGTTGGCGGAACGTCTATTGTGGTTGCAATGCTGACTATATAATTTTATAAACATATGTACTTCTATGACACAGCCGTCACGTCGGGTTAATGTCAATTGTAAAGCTTGATGCACTGAAGTTGATTTATATAGCAGTGTCGAGGCGTACCATCCTTGCGAGCACATGCGCTACATATCAGCTCTTTGCTTGTGGTATTGCTAACACATGTTGCTGTTGGCATTGTTAAGCAAGTGTGAACAACTAGTTTTATAAAATGTGTGACTGCTCAACACATGTCTGTGCATACATTATTTGTACATATCTTTAGTGCTATTCGTAATGTTTTGCTAATTACAACACAGTTACTTTTTCTCCACATGATTCATCATCATCCTTATCAGCCTGACTACGCCCACTGCAGGGCAAAAACCTCTCCCATGATCCGCCGATCAGCCCAGTCTGGTGCTTTTCGTTGCCACGTTATATTTGTGAACATTTTAATCTCATCGGCCCACCTAATTTTCGGTCTCCTCCTCGTGTGTTTGCCTTCTCGGGGAATCCAGTCAGTTACTTTTAATGACCTGCGATTATCCTGCCTACGTTCTACGTGCCCGGCCCATGTCCATATCTTCTTTATTTCAACTATGATATCTTTAAGCTCGGTTTGTTCCCTGACCCACTCTGCTCTCTTCTTGTGTCTTAAGGTTACACCTATCATTTTCCTTTCCATCGCTTGCTGTGTCATCCTCAATTTAAGCTCAACCCTCTTTGTAAGCCTTCAGATTTCCGCTCTATAGCTAAGTACTGGCAAGATGCAGCTGTTATATACCTGCCTCTTGAGGGTTAGTGGCAAATTACGATTCATGATTTAAAAATGCTTGCCGAATGTTATCCACCCCATTCTTATATTATATTCTTCTAGTCATTTCACCCTCAACGTTCAGCTTCATGGTTACTACCTGTCCTAAGTAGACATATTCCTTTACAACTTCCAACACCTCTCCGCCCATCGATAAGCGCTGCTTTCTGCTGAGACTATTGCAAATTACTTTAGTCTTGGTCATATTAATTTTCAGACCTACTCTTCTGCTTTTCATGTTTAGTTCCGTAATCATGAGCTGTGTAATTCCTCCCCTGAGTTACTTATCGAGGTAATGTCATCAGCAAATCGCAGGTTACTAAGATACTCTCCATTAACTTTTATCCCCAACTCCTCCCAATTTAGGGTCCTGAAAACCTCCTGAAAACACACGGTGAATAGCATTGGAGAGATCGTTTCTCCCTGCCTAACACCCTTCATTATTGGGATTCTGTAGCTTTCTTTACTGAGAACTATGGTGGCTGTAGATCTACTGTAGATTTCTTCCAGTATGTTTATGTGGGGTTCTTCGATGCCCTAATTCCGTTGTGCCTTCATTACTGCTGATGTCCCGCCTTCTCGTAGTCAAACACCTTCTCGTAATCTATGAAGGCTGTGTATAGGGGTAGGTTATATTCCGTGCATTTCTCTATTACCTGATTGATAGTATGAATTGGTCTAATATGGAGTAGCCTGTACAAAATTCTGCTTGGTCCTTTCGTTGATTGAACTTTAATGTCACCTTAATTCTATTACCTATTATTTTGTAAATAGTTTGTAGAGAATGAACAGTAAGCTAATCGACCTGTAATATTTCAAGTTCTTGACGTCTTCTTTCTTGTGGATTAAGATGATATTGGCGGTCTTCCAAAATTCTGGTACCTTTCTCAACAAGAGACACTTCTTGTATAAGGTGGCCAGCTTTTCTAACACAATTTCTCTGGCATCTTTTAGGATGTCTGTTTTTACCTTGTCCTTACCAGCGGCTTTGCCTCTTTACATTACTTCAAGGGTTTTCCTTACTTCCGCTGTCATTAATGGTAAGATGTCGAATTCCTCTGGACTATTATTTTTTATCACAATATCATCCTGGTTGTTTTGGCTTCTGTACATAACTCCGCCGCCACCTTGACTATCCTATTTATATTGGTTAAGACGTTGCCTTCTTGTTCCTTAATGCATACATCCGATTTTTCCTTATGCACAAGTTTGCCTTCACAGCTTCTAGGCTTCTGCCACTTTTTACAGCCTGCTCAATTCTCTCCTTGTTATATCTTCTGATGTCGGCTACCTTATACCTATTGATTATCTTCGAAAGCTATATCTTGTCAGTTGCATTTGAGGCTTTCATGGTTTGTCGTCTCTTAATAAGACTTTTCATCTCCTGAGATAGTTTGCCAGTGTACTGTCTAGTGTTGCAATGTGGGCTTGTTGGTGATGCACATGAAAGGGTTTTTTGTAGCGCGACGCAAAATGCGGAAACGGAAAGGGATATAGTTACAGGACAGAGTGCTACTTCCAACACATTTTAGCAATTGTGGATGGAAGAGGGAATAATATAGGCCTGTCACATCAATAGACCTTTTCCAAGCAGTCCCATAACGCCCCGCGGGCGCGCGGAGCACTATGGGAAATGTTGTTACGCCGACATAACCAACTCTTCCTACGCCCGCTGCTCGTTGGCGTCGTGCGAGCACAAAACGACAAAAACATACTGGCACTTGTTGAATAAAGTTCGAACGCACCTGCATGTATATCTACACATGAAATGTGATATGAATAATGCAGCCAGTGTAGGTATCACTTGACATCGAACCTAGATGAGCGGCGTGAGAGTTGTTGCATACCGATACATGTGGTCAAAACATGCTATCGTGAGGATTGTGAGCTGGAACACTTAATTCATAGTTATTCAATGATGAACTGCTAATAAAGCGCTTTGGCTTTTAATACCATCGCGG